AGGCGTCAGACTTCTTAATCAAAACAATTAAATGCGAGAGGAATTTTCAAGTAATAACGTCTGAAAGGAAATCCGTCGAGGCAACTATAGCCTCCTTGCCGTTTCAGGCGTCCGTGTGGTAAACGGATGGCTCTAAAAGCGATCGCGGCACGGGTGCTGGCATATACCGCCGCAACTATTGGTTCTATGCGCATTTGGGCGAAGCTCCCTCCGTTTTTCAAGCGGTGGTCTTTGCCATCGAGGCATGTGTTATGCGGTGCTTGCGCGGGAGCTCGCGGAAATGTTCCATCTTTATGGCTTTACCAGCCAGGCTGCTTTTGCTGCACTGAAATCATTAACTTTTAACTCGAAGCTAGTCCGGAGTTGCTTCAACAATCTGGAAAAACTGACTGTGAATATCAAAGTCACTCCTATGTTTATACCTGGAAATAAGAGGAGGCCGATTATCTAGCGAAGTTGGGGACAAATGTCTCCTTCATCGGGCCTGATTTGGTCGATGGATCACGGGCATTCCTGACATCGTAAGGCGGAGCTGCTCTTCACTGATTGTTCTATCGTGGTTTGTCATTTGGTATGGGGCCTTTAACTCATATTTACTAAAAAATTGGCAGATCAAATACGCATCGATATATAGTTTCTGCGATTAGGGCAGGGAGGACTCCACTCATGTCCTATTTATTAGTGTGATGGCTTGGCCTGCTCTAGATAAAGATTGCCCGAGGCCTTGGACTTTGATTCTCATGAATCGTTGTGCATGGCACAAAAGACCTGTATGGTCGAGGTGCTGATTAAATTCGGCCCATACATAACTTACATACGTACAACATTTTTCACATATATATTCACTCTTTTTATGATCAGACGAGCCAGCTATCCTAAATTAAAATGATAAAATAATAAAAATTTTGAAAGAAATATATTTTCTATTTTGCAGATGAAAATTTCCAAAAAAAAGTTTTTATCAGGTAGATTTTTTGGGGTTTTCTTGGCTTAATTATTGGGCATTATGCCAATTATAACAAAAAAAAATATTATATTTTTTGTAAAATAAAGAAATGGAAAAGAACATTTGTTGTATTTAAGTGAAAAACTTTTATGGTTAATTTATTAATTTTTTCTTTTTTTTTATATGAAAATCAAATTTAATTGAAATGGGGATTTTGAATAAATTTTTAATTGTTTTCACCTGTGGTTTGTCTCTCACTAAATGAAACATATTTTTCAATTTTCATGCGATACTTTAATAATTTTGTTAATTGTTTTGCTTCAAAATTCTTTTCTGAAATTATTTTCAATTTTTTTTTTTCGCATTCGTTCCATTTTTTTTATTTTATTTAATTTTATGAATAAATTATTTTAACACTTTTTGTTAGAGAAATTTATTTGACTGAATGCATAATTGTGGAACTTGAGAAGAACTTTGTAAAATTTCTATTCAAATTAGGCGAAAATTCTAATGCAATTCTCCCGTATTATGATGAAAATTGCAATTTATGCATTTTGCTGTTTATAAAATAATTTAGTGTAATAATTTTAATTTTTCAAATACATAGAATCTATATAATTCAAAAATACGATTAAGAAAATTAAATAAATTCGTTTCGTTTCATGTATGCACATTAAGAATCTATGTAAATTTTTCTGTAATACATTTCGAATTCGCATTTTATTTTCTAAATATGTAATCAAATATTTTTCAGAACCTTCTAGTGCAAAACAAGATTTACACATGCCATCATACTTCAATTAAATAAATTACATCTTGTATACCCACATTAACCGTCTTATCACACTATAATTGTCTGATTCTCATACGAGAGCATCAACTTTTGCAATTATTGTGAATTATTTTTAATTTAATTTACAAATAATTCATTTACATTTGAATTTGCAATAAAAAATTGCAATTACATATTTCATTTAAATATGCTGTAAAATAATTTATAAAATTATTTTTTTGATTTTATTATCAATTTATTAATCATATTATCTTTATATGTAAAGCTTCCCATACTATTCACAATATGTTGAATCTCTATATATGAATGTGTTGTACGACAATACAAACTATATGCAATTTTGATTCAACTTAAAAAAAAGAAAAGGAAAACAAAAAAAAAACAAAAGTCAATCTGTCAAAAAATTTAAAAAAATTAATAAAAATTGAGTCCGTCATTTTGACAAATGAATCTAAATAACAGGTTGTAGTAATAATAATAAAATATAAATGAATATTATAAACTATAGTATGTAGGTATATTATAATGTGGGTATAACAAATGTATAGGGTATATTATGTGCATGTACATGTATAATTTAACAATATTATATTGAAACAAAAATTATATAATAAATGAATAAAAAATGCAACAGAATAAAATCATTTGTTCAACTAAAAAATAACAAACAAAATAAAAAAAAAAAATTATCATTTCAAAATTTATTGTGGGATTTTGTGTGTGCGTCTATATGGAAAACAAATGAATTTTAAGACGTCTGTCTATCAACGCTCTCTCACTTTTTTTAACTTAGTTTTCGTTTTTTTTCTTCTTTTTTTTAATTCTTATAAACAATTTTTATACCCGACCTTTATTGTATCAATTTGTATTAAACCTTATACGTATGCTATGTACATACACATACATTTGGGCATTCATACAATATGTGTAGTATAGGTTTGATTATATTGGGCATATGAAATGTCGGACTCTGAAATTATTTTAGAATGAAAAATTATTACAAATGATCGCAAATAATATATTTTTTGTTTAAGTAAAAATTTTCAAAGGAAGCCCGCTTTTTTTAAATTTTTTTTTTTTCATTTTTATTCCCTGGTCTTTTTTTCTTTTAATGTTTTGGTTTAATATGGTTAAATTTTTTTATTTTGTTATACATTATATGAATTATTGTATAACATATATAGCATTTAATAAATTATTACAAATTTTTTTGTTTTTATATAGTGGGTCTTTTCACAAACCAAATATTATTCTTATATATATATATGTATATATAAATATTAATAAATAAGAATAATAAGAAAAAAAAATATTACAATTATTGTTTTAAAGATTTTAACTGCTTGTATAATACAAGTACCCTAAACTTGCCTTTTGTATATATTTTTTTATACAAGTATATACATTTTGCTTGTTTTATTCATCAAAATTCAAAACTGTTATATTGTAAACTACGGTGTATATATTTTGTTTTAATACAAAATTGGTTATAAGTATAAAAGTACATGGAATCGAATAGAATGGTTGGTTTTAAGGCGCCACAAATATTTTTTTTTTCTTTTATACATTTTATTGTTTTATATTTGATTAATTACAAAAATAAATAATTATTTGGTCGAAATTATATAAAAGAAAAAATAAAAAGTAAAAAGTTTTTCTAATAATTTTCTATTATGAATTTTTGTTTTAGAATTTTTCGGGTATATAGAATGGTTAGAGAAGTTTCTTTTAAAGGAAATAGAAAATTATACGCACACCTTTTTAATATATAAAAAGAACATTTTACATTAATACAAATTTTGTAATCAAATGTCGACATGTACGTATGGATGTGTGTCGGTATTTGAGAGGTACACAAACTAAAAAATCAATTGTTGTTATATTTTTTTTTTGATTTTTGATTTTTGACGGAATGTCAATTTTCTTTTTTGTTATATTATTTTAATTTTATATTGTATGTATGGTATGTGCATATGGAACAATCGAGGACTGGCGCTCAACTTCCAAAACCTTTATCCATTAATTTTATTATGTAATATAAAAATAATAATTTTTTTTGTATGTCTAACATACTTACAAACTTTCTTATACAAATTTATAATAAATGAAAAATAAAATAAATTATTTTTTTCATTTTTATAAAATTTCCAAAATAATCCATTAATTTTTTTTCGTTTTTTTTTGGCAAACTTAAAAGGATTTTGTTTTTTTTGGTTTGGTTCTCATAAAAAAATAAAAACCGAAAACTAAATGATCTCAGGATATGGGCTGTGTTACATGTACAATGTAGGTAGGTATACCCACTTATTTTAATTTATTTATACGGTATAAAAATATTGATTAGATGGTTTAACATTGATTAATCACGTATAGTGAACATAAAATTTTTATACATTTAAAAAAAAATCCTCTGAAAATTAATATTTAAAATAAGATTTATATTTAATAAATATAAAAAAAAATCCGGATATCCTTTAGCAAAATGTTAAAATAATAAATTTAATTTTGAGAAATATTAAAATATTTTCTTTGTTCAAGAATTAACCGAAGAATGTTTCATTAAATCGAATCCTGCCCAAAGGAAACCAAAATTTTATGCAAAAAAAATATTAGTGATCCCTTAGGAGAGAATAAAAAATAGAATTAAAATCTCCTATAAAATAAAAATACTTAAAATCCGAGAAAAAGTGTAAGTGACTAAAAATCTACATGAAATATACTTAAAAATGTGAGCTTGTGTTACTATATATGTACTTGTTTTGAATAGATACTAATTGTGAGGCAGAAAACAGACATCGATTTACCAACTATATTTGTAAAATAACTTAACTAAGTCTTAGTTCTTTTGATAGGTTTGTTTATTGGAATTTTAATATATGAAGTTCTCGGCCAATATCCGAATTCTGTGGCATTTTTAATTTTCTACAACAAATTATTAGGGAACACTTATTATATTTGCTTTCATTATGTTTCCATTTTGAATATAAAAAAGTAGCTTTTTCTAATCGAAGAAGAGGCGACTCTATATCCAAATAAAGTTTGTGTAAGCAACAACATTAAAAACGTCCATATTTAAAACCTATATATTTTAAAAAAGCAAAATTTATAACAACGCTTAAGTTATCAACGCTTTTCTATTCAATATTATAGTTCTGATTTCGCATATATACGAAACATTAGCCTTTGCCATTCAAATTTCACTTTTCGCAAAAAAATTAATATAAAAACAAAAAAAAAAACAAATTTTAAAATTTCACTTACCTTGACTATTATTTTTTTTTGAAGTTTTCTTTTCTTTCATCCATGGATATTCTGGCACTGAATCTATATTATCCGTTGATATTGTAGATTGATATGCACCAGAATCTGAAATTTTTGAGCTAGCTGGACTTAAATGATCTAAAAATTCAGCCATCGATGGTTGTGAATTTATAAAACCACTTTCTGGTGCCATCCAATATGATGAAGTATCACTGATCGGTTTTTTATCACAGATTTTTCCACTAATTTTATTATTTTGTGAATTAACATTATTTACTGTTAATGGTGTATTTGGTGTTTGTTGTGATACAGCTTGTTGTTGTTGTTGTTGTGCTGCATGTATTGATAAATATGCAGCTTCAGATTTAATCTGTGGCCCAACAGCAATTGATTCGATACTATTACAAACTTCTTGCATATTGTTAAAATATATATGAAATTTTTTTTTAAAAATTTTATACGAATTTATAACATTAATGTATGTTTTTCACATATACATATACATGTATTGTTATATATATATATATAAATATATGTTTTTATTTTACGTATTTACGGATATGAATTTAATTTTTAAACGAAAAAAATTTATATTACAGAAGGAGTGTTTTCTTTTATATGCTTGTGTCGATTTATTTCAATTATATTGAATTTAATTATTATTAGATATATGGCTGTTAAATTAATGCTAAGTTCACCAATTCACATCATTGCGATTTATAATAAAATCTGGAAAACATAAAAGGATAAAATTTTAAATTAAGTAATATTATCATTCATAAATTTTGTACGTGATTAAAATTAAAATAAATTTTTAATTGTTTATTTGTTAAACACGCATTGTTTTTAAATATTCAAGCTTAAAATATGCAAAATAATTTATTTAAAAATGTAATCAACAAGCACAGGATATCAAAACAATAATTTTATAGTTTTTTAATTCGTTTAACACTATCGAAATAGAATACTATTTTTAAACAGGTCCTTATTGTGGGTTTACCCCTTCTCAGCTTACAAACTACTTGTTTACAATTAAAAGTAGTGTGTGATTTTATCTACGTGATGAGAATCGCAAATCTTCAGTAATTATTTTCGGAATTGTAAAATATGTCTTTTAAATTAATTGTTTGCGTATATTAAATTTTTATTTTCACATAATTAGAAATAGATTTTTAAACAGAATTGAATACTTTTGTACTACACTGGGTTTAATATTATATGCTCTTTAAATTTCTAAACATACCTAATTTATATTAGACACAGATGCGTTTATACGTTTTTTATATGTTATGATCTTTTTTATTTTACACACTAATTTCTAAGTTAATTTAATTATAAAGCAATCTAAATTCAAAACCAAATAACAATAATTAACTATTAAATAATTTTCTAAATTATAAATAAATTATGTTGACATTAGTTTCATGAAAAATAAAATGCAAATCTGGAACTACAAGTACACTATAAAACTAGAAAAAATGAAAATAGATATAGTTGACAATGATGGCACATCAACACAATTTTAGCTTAGTAGCTTCGACAGTTTCTGAGTTATGATTAAACAACTGATGAAATTATATGGCAGCTAACGCAAGCGGTCGAGAAATTAAAACGACTTTTATCAAACAAAACAGCCGAAGCAATATATTTGCTCTTGCAAATTTTCAAAAGTATGCCCTTAATACTTTTGGAGATATAACTTTTGAGGTTGTTTGACAGTTATCACAAGCATTCATGATATCTCAACAATTTTAACGAATATAGCTGCCGTTTTACCATATTTGTTTTTGCAAAATTTCAGTACTGTATAGGTTAAACAAGTTTTAAGATATAGTCAAATACATTTTGAGGTTGTATGGCAATTACCCGAACCAATACCTCGGTCACGTCCAATTTAAATAGCGTTCTGGAATTGACTACTGTAAATCATTTATAAAAATTTGGAAAGTTTAGCTAAATTAGAGTATTAGTTATTACTGGGACGGGCTGACGGATGGACAGACATGATTAAATCGACTCAGAATTCGACGCTGATCTATACCCAGAGTCAACATACGTCCGTGTAGGTATAATCATTAAGAAACCAGACCACTTTATAAATAAACCATACAACGTTATAAAATTTTTGCATATATTAGGGGGCAAAATATTAATATTAATTAGATGTAATGTTCGTTGTCTTTCAAACGGCTTGAAATACTTTATGGAAATAGTCTTGTAGCACATTTTGTTAAATGTTAAGTACGAGTTTTCAAAATATTATGCAATATTTTTAACAATATTTTTTTTACTCTATATACGCTCCCAAATTATTGTAATAAGACATCTTCCAACTACATGCTTTGCATAGTCTAACAAGTAAGCTTTTAGTTTTAGTAATAAGCTGTAATAATTATATTCAAAATAATTACAATAAAATTAATCAGATTAATTATAATATCCTCATATCTTCCTTTGAACTCTTGACATATAATATTAGCAAAAATTAATGTAAATCTATACTTGCCATAACAAATGTCACCTATGATTGAAATGACGTGATATTTGTTTAACCTTTTAAATATATACACTACGACGCTTTGATTAATTAAGAAAATTTTAAATTATGCATTATAACACGTCCATTTAAATTTAACGATGTTAAGGAGTCAAGTTCATATAAATATAGCAAAAGGTCAAAAAAAACATTTAATTTTTAAAATTTTCATTAAGAAAAAGTATTTTAAACACTTGTTTTTTCTATATAAATTGATCTTGTATTACAGTTGCAACCTGGAAGAATTTTTAATTTTGATTGAATATTCAATTTTAATAAAATAATTATTTTTACGAACTTTTATTACCTTTTTGAATTTTAATTAACCTTGACTTTTACAAGCGCATATTGAAAAAAAAAAAAAGCAAACTTCAACTTAAATTAAATGTAGCAAGAAGCAAAACTAATTCAAATTAAAAAAAAAAATTATTTTATAATTTTCTTGTAAACAACACAAAAGAAAAATTAGATCATTAACTGCGCGTTCAGGAAAAACAAAGTTAAATTGTGGTCAATGTCAGAATTTATGGCGACAACAATATTTTACGATGTTCAAAGCTTGTCATTAAAATAAATGACGCTATAATAAAAATGAAAAATATTTTTGTTTTCTAAACATCATTAACTCATAATAAATGCAAATTTTAAAGGAAACTGTAAAAGATAGAAAAAATTATGAAATTTTATATTTTGAATAAAATTATGTAAGTTTTCATGTAAAGTTAAGAAATGCAAGAAAGTTCGAGATGCTTTCATAATGAAAATTTAAAGGATTGAAAATTTTGGAAAATTATTAGGGAAAAAACATTTTCCTAATATTTTTTGCTTTATTATTCAGTGAGCGAAATGAGGGCGCTGATCAGATTTTAGATTCTTAGAACCACAAATTTGAATTGAAAACATTATAAAAGCATTTTAATGAATTTAAACAACTTGAAATTGTTGGTAAATTGAATAATTTACCAGTTACAACAATTACTTTAATTATATTAATAAATTATTTACATTAATTGCTTACTCACAAAGTACATTGTAAAATAATCTGTCATTAATATGTAGTTCAAGCTCATAACCTTTTTAAATTACATCTGACTTATGATAAGCTTTGATAACTTTATAATTGCATTTCCGTAATTTTCAATTGATGCAAATTATTTTTTTAATTAAAGCAAATATTATATTTTATAACTAATTTAATCAAAGTTACACTCTCTTGCGTGACGTAAAGTGTAACTGTTATATGCGAATGTTTATAATAAAAATTAAGATCAAATAATTGGCAAATGAATTTGTTGTTTGTCAGTTTAAAAAAATCATTGTAAATTTAAAAAATTTTTTACATAAAGAAATTTACTCATAGATCTGTTTCATAGTCTAAATTGACTAGAAATTGATTTTGGCAATTCAACTTATATATATGTTATATAGACAAGATATTTCATTATCCTGTTTCAAAAACTATAATTTTATATTGAAATCCTTCCGAATTCTGATTAAGTAGAATTTAAAAAATCTAAATCTTGAGCCCTCGTTACTTTTTCTTGATGTTACGCCTACACTGGAGATTCCATTCTAACGCTTGTTTGGCTATGGACTGATCTGGGCTCCTAAGTATGTGACCTACCTGTCCATATTTTTTTTTTTCTTATATTTGATTTTCCATCGGTCCCATAGGTCTTATAGTTTCCATTTTTCATAGGTCTCATAGGTTGCTGTTTCTCATTTTGTTGGGCCAGAATTTTCGGCATATGATGCCGAGGCATTATTTGAGAAGACCTGCATTCTGTTAATGTCTTATTTGTTCATGAGCCAGGTTTCACTGCCGTGCAACATTATTGATTGGCGCGGGCATCGAAGACTCAGCTTGACATTTCTGGACAGTTATGTGGATTTGCAGAGCTTCCACAATCTAGTGAATGGCGCCCTAGTTTTTCTGAGCTTGTCTTCCGTATCGACATTTGCCCGGCCATCTGAACTTACGATGCTCCCGAAATACGTTATGGTATTGACATCTTCTATGCCTTTGTCATGAATTTCAAATGCTTGGTATATTACAGTATTCATTCTGATAGTCTTTGTTTTCCTTGTATTTACTTGTATGTCAAGTGCTGCTCCACAGTTCTTCAACTTCTCTAATTTTTGCTTCATATTTTCACATGTGTGTGAGGAGGCATACTCAAAATTGTCCAGGGTGCTGAAAGCCTTCCAGTTAATTCCATTTCTTATTTAATTTGTTTTTCTCATAATTTCATCTGTACCAATGTTGAAGAGAACTGGCGAAAGGGAATAGCCCTGCCTAACTCCCCGCGTTGTTGTTATGGGCTGACTCAGTCTTCCCATGTGAAGAATTTGAGTCTCTGCATTTTCATACATCGCCTTGATAACTCTAATTATCTTGCTTACGATTCTCCTTAACTCTAGAGCTCTCCATATTGCGTTTCTATCTACAGAGTTGAAAGCAGTTTTGAAGTCTACGAAGGTGATTTAGAGCGTCAAGTTGAATTCTCTGAAAAAGACTGTTCTGCAATTATTCTTATTGTATTAGTATTTTCAGTAAAGTTTCTTCCTACTGAACTTGCCTTTTAATGAGAAGTTTCGATGTCAGAATTTTGTGTTGCACGCTGTATTGAAGCTCTTTCCTTAGATCCACACAGATTTTTTAACGCCTTATTTTTAATATGTGTAGTAAATTTATGCCTTTTTTAAAAGCGTTGTCAGCTCATATTTGAATAGAGCGCGCAAAATTCTATTATGAAGTAAGCTGAAAAATAGGCCTCTTTTTTTAATGAAATGGAACTCTTTTCGTAGCTTTCCTTAGGTGCGTATTTATCAGGACTGTCCACTTTAATTTATTATAAATTACCGCCAAGATAACTATAATCTTTAGCTATAATTTTTGGATAAGGATGTTTGATATCAACTTGTTGTTACTGACGCATAGGTCATA